CGCAGATGGGCCAGGTCCCTGCCTGTGGGGACACGGCTGAACATGGCTTGCTGCGGAGGGGACCGTCCACCTCCCTCCAGCTCACGGCAGGGGCGTCACACGGGGTCGTTCCGCGCGTCCTGCTCCTGCCCGGCACTGCTCCCACCCCAGCCCGCGGCCGGGGTGAGGACCTCGGGGATCCCCGGACTCCAGCATCCCTCCCCGGTGTCCCTGTCGCCCGGGACCGCGTCCTCGGGAAGAGCGAGCCCAGAGCACCACGTCCGAGTTTTCGGGGAGAGAGGAAAGAAGCGGGGAGCAGCCGGGGGCGCTCCTGCTGTGGAAGAGAGGACGGGACGGGGAGGGGGGGCTGCCGCGAGGGGGACCCGCGGACCCTGCAGCCTCTCGGGGCCGGCGGCTGGGACGGCGGTCGGTTTCCCGGCCCTCACATGCGGGGGCGAGCAGCCACTCCCAGCCCCCCAAACGGTGGGCGGGCGGCGTCACGTGCGCACCCTCGACCAATCGCATTGGGGGCGGGAGGAGCCTCGCCGGGGCGGCTCCCGGCGTCCTCCGCGCAGCCTGGGACGCGCGCCGCACGGGTGGCGGGGGCGCCGCGTGGGTCCCTAGGCCGGGAGGAGCGGGCGGGGTCCGGGGGAGCTGGCCCGAGCGGCCCGCCCGGCCTCCGCTGCGGCCGGCACGTCGTGGCCAGAGAAGGCCGGGCTGGGGTCCCCGTTCGGACCGCCGCCGCCCCGCCCCCGGGCTCCCCGGAGCGCGGGCGCCAAGGGGGCTGCTTTCGGGTGTTGGGCGGGCTGAGACTCGGGTCGGGATCCCCAAGGCAAGGTCGGCGCCTGCAAGGAGGGAGGCGTTCAGGGAGTCAGGCGTAGGAGCTGCTACGCCAGCTTCTGTGGGACGGTGATCGCTTTGGGAAGTTGCGGGCAAAAACGGGTCACTTGCACCTTGTCTCCTTGTGGGCCCTCTCCCCAAGTAGTAGAGCCACACCGAGCAGCGGGCAGAGCGATCCCAAGGAATGCGGTGCTGCCCTGCAGGCTCGGTTCTCGAGGAGAGGCTGGTGGCCGCAGCCCTCCCGACCCCTGACCCTCCCCCTGTCCTGGGGCCTGCAGCTGGCCCAGAGAGGTCTTGACCTCCACCTGGCAATGGGACTCGCTCCTGGAGGAGGAAGGACCAGGCGGCCCATGCCCTTCCATGCAGAGTGAGGGCCAGGACAGAGCAGAGCCATGAGGCTCCTCGCCTTGGGGGACGGGTGCTTTCCGAGTGTCCTGGCTGGGGCCCTCCTCCTCAGGACAGGCTGCTGGAGGCCCTGGGGGGTGTGGGGGTGGGGTGGGGTGGGAGGTGGCCCAAGACAGGGGACGCACTGGACTGCCTATGTGGGAATGTCCGTTTGCTTCCCAGGCCCTTGCTCCGGGGGTGGCCAGGTGGGCTACATGCCCAGAGCCTGGGCCCTCTTGCGCCCAGGCCCGGTGTGCGGGGGCTTCCTGCCCCCTGCCCTCCCTCTGGCAGAGGGGCCCCTGTGATCCGCCCCTCAGTCACCTCTATCTGGGTGTTCTGGCTGCCTGCCCCGCCACCCCACCACCTCTGGCCTCACTCTGACCCGCCGCTACCCCTGCCCCCCGTGACTGTAGGGCCACTTGGCCCTGTTCTTGCCCTACACTGATTTCAGGGACTGTGGAGCGGTGTGGGGCGGCAGACCGGACTCTACACTGTGTTCCTGCAGCAGAACACTGTGCCCCTGACCTTTGGGACTAAAAAGGTCAAGCTCCCTGTGTGGGATGGAACATTCTGCCCTCCACCTGGTAGCAGGAATGCCGCTAGGGTAGGGCTAGGCTAGGGAGGCGCCTCGGGCCTCTGACCCCCTCACTGGCATGGGACACTGGGAAGGGGTCCCAAGGAGGTGTGGAGCTGGGGGTCTCAGGAATCAGAAAGCAAGGTCCAGAGACATCCCTGGGAGCTAGTGGGCCCAGCAAGCACCCCCAGCACCTCCATTTTCTGCCCACCTCCCTTCCTGGGCTGGGACCCAGATGCCCTCTATCTTTGGTGGGCAGGATCTGAAGAGGGCCCGCCCCTGCCCAGCCCACCCCCAAGCCCTCCGCACCCACCTCTTCTGCCAGTCCTGAGCAGGAAGGTGCGGGGAGCACACCCCTGGGGGAGGGGCACCTGCCAGGTGGGCCCATAAAGAGGTGAGTATCTGAGACCACAGCGACAATGAGCATTTACTTCTCCGTCCCCGCTGACATGGGGCCTTCGCCTGCCCTGTGGGTGATGTTCATCCTGCTTAAAGGCCAGACCTCAAACACCCAGCCAGGCATGATCTCCGTCTTACAGAGTTTCCAGGAAGACCAGGTCTGGGGGCCGGGTTGGAGGGGGAGAAAGCCAGGGTCCAAGTGCAGGGAGAGAGGAGGGCCATGGTGGCCGGGGAAGGCACCACCCGGGGAACCCAGCGTGGCCAGCCTGGTCTCAGTGTCCTCCCCAGAGATTCCTGACATCCAGCAGAAAAGGGCCCCGAACAGACCTTCTGGGCAGCCGCTCCCTCCTGTAGCCCCTGCCAGTCCCCGTGAGGTGGGGACGTCTCAGTCCCTCCGCACAGATGGGGAAAGAGTCTGGACAAGACCAGCCACTGGGCCAGGTCACTCTGTCCCTGCCAGACCCAGGGCAGCCCCCGGCTTGGCGCAGGCACAGGCTGCCTGGCGAGGGTGTCAGGGCTGCCCTGGGCTCTGCCGACTCCGGGTCCCCACAGTTCCAGGGGGAGTGGTTTGTTGTCGGCCTGGCGGGCAGCACCCACAGGAAGACAGACGGTTCCTTGCTGAGCCCGTTCACTGCAACGTTTGAGAAGAATGAAAACGGCAGCCTTAAAGTGTCATATGCCATGACCCGGTGAGTGAGGATCCCTGACCTGTACCTCCAGAAGCCATGGCTTCATGACTCAGGTCCAGCATGGGCCCCCGTGCCATGTTCTCCCAAGATCCTCTTCCAAAAGTTCAGCACAGGCTGCTAGTGACCTAAGCCAGCTGTGGGGACACACACAAGAGTGGGGGGCATTCACCGGATCACAGACTCTGAAGGGCCTTGGGCGCTGATGGATTTCAGGTACAGCTGGATCCAGGAGCTCAAGCAGTGTGATCAGTCCCCATCACCTCCTCCCTCTCTCTCTCTCTCTTAGCTCTGCTTGCCCTGGACTTCTGTTGTTCAGGGAAGTTCTCACCTCACAGGGATAAAACATCGGCCTAGGCTGATGTGCTTTTCAGGGTTTCAATTCCAGAAAAGAGATCATCCTGGTCGGCCTGGCAACGGCCTCTGACTGGTTCTCCTGGAGTCAGGTGCTCCTCCTGGATCAGTTGCTGCATCCAGGGTGACAGGTGGTCTGGTCGGTGTGCCTGAGTAAAGTGCCTGCTCCCCGGCTGGGAAGAAGTGGGGTGTCTTCATAGACAGCTGCCTGAAATGAGGTGGAGGGGGGCGCAGCCCGCCCTTCGGGGGACACCGATGCCACGAGGGCTTCCTTCCCCTCCCCAGATCTCCTGCAGTCCTGCCCCTGCCCCCTCCTTGCCCACCTGCCTGGCTATGGGGGAGCAGAGGGCCCAGAAACCTCTCTGGCTAGGGCTTTTTGGCTCCACGTTAGATAAATGAGGAGCCTGAAACGGGGGGGGGTTTGTCACGTAGACCAGGGTTAATGCCAGAAGCCGAGAGCCTCTGAGGGGCTCCACTCGGCCCCTGCCCTCGCCTGCCGGCGACCATCGTTGAAGCCACCTGCACCACCAGCCACCCCAGAATCCCCCACCAGAGCGGCTCAGACTCTCGGGGGCATCTGACTGGCCTGGTTCCTGCCAGAGGTTGATTACTGGGGGGACCGTGGGGGACAGAGAGCCCAGTGCAGATGCAGCCTCTCCCCGGCCTGCAGGCTAGGCTGCACCTGGTTGCTGCTTAAACAGGCGCATGCACCCGCATGCTGGCCCCCGCACTGCTGGCCGTTTCCCCGAGGACTGAGCCCGGGCGGGGGGCGGGGGTGGGGAACCAGGCCCTGCACAGCAACAGCCGCCCGCAGCCCCCACCCCTCCCCGCCCCACCCGGCTCCGCGAAGTCCACGGCTGAGGCCGGGGGGGGGGGGGGGGCGCCGGGCAGTGCCCACTGGGCCCACTCCGTATTCCCAGAGGGGCCACCGTGGCCTAGAAAACCCCTCACGATGGCACACGCGTGCACGTTTCAGGTCCTGTTCCAGGCTGAGGAGGAGCTGTCCGCGGGTGGGCTGGGCAGAGGCTTCAAGGTCACCGCCCACACCTGGCTGCTCCTCCAGGAGGGACACAGGGCAGCCCCGGGGGCCACGGGGTGGACACAGGCCTCTCTGGGGAGAGAAGTGTGCTGGGCCGTGCCCGTGGCTTCACACAGAAGTCTCCTCCAGACAGACAGCTGTATTCTCTCAGGGGCCCACTTCGGGGCCCGCCCCTGAGAAAGGCAAAAGGAAACCAGCGGTCCGGCCAGCTTCTGGAACCTTCCTCCTCTGTCCATCCCTGCTCTCACAGGGGCCACCGCTGTATCACCTGGTCTTATGTGCTGATCGCAGCGGCCCAGCCTGGGGGCTTCTCAGTGGACAACACAGCGGGTGAGGGGGCGACGGGGGAGAGGCGGGAGGCGCTGGTGGGCGTGCCCCTGACGCTGCGCCGTCACCCCTCAGCGCCCGGGAAAGGCCCCGAGGAGGTCCAGGTGCACGACGCTGACTACAGCGTGTTTGCTCTGATGCTGTCCAGGAGACGGTCGGGCGGTCAGAGCGTCCTCACGGTCAGCCTGCTGTGTGAGTGCCTGGCCGGCGGCCGCAGTAGAGCCGGCGGGACAGGGCAGGGTGGGGGGGGGAGGGGCAGGACGCCCCCACTCGCTCCGGTCGCTGAGGGCCGTGCTGCGCTCATCGGGCCCCAGGCAGGACGTGGCTGATACGGACCCGGGTGCTGGAGAGGTTCGTCCACCTGGTCAGAGCTCAGGGCCTCTCGGATAACAACGTCGTCTTCCCGGACTTGGCCGGTCCCGGGCTCTCAGGCTGGGGCGGGAGCCCGGACCCAGCGTAGGTAGCTGCCCATGGGCCTCAAAAGCCCTGTGGGGGCCCGGCGGGTGAGTGCGGACTGTGTTCAGGGTCGACCTGTGGGGTCCTGGCGGCGCCAGAGGGTTCAGCCTGAGCCCAGAGTGTGGCGGGGAGGGGGGGGGTCCATATTTGATCCCTGTCCCACCCCCACCCCTCCACCCTGGGCCACCCCTTCCCCCTTCCGGGAACATTTCTCGCCACACCCCCGCCCCTCCCACCTCTGGCCCTTTACAGGTGTGGGGCTACGTGAACACGTACTGGCAGACGTGTGCATAAAACACGCGCGGACCTCCACACACACGTGCACGTGTAACCACTTAGACACCCACGCACGCACACGTGTGCACGGAGGTGCACGCACACTGGACACCGTGCTCACAAGCACGAGCGCTTGAGCGCCCCCTTGCGTGTCTTCGGGGAGTCTGGGGGCCCAGGTGGGGGCAGGGTGGCGCCCTGGAGGGCACGTCCCTCGGTCCCTGGCCGGCCTCCCCCACCCCAGCCCGGTTCTCCCTCAGCCCCAATTCCTCTCCCCTCCCCGGAAGCTGCCAGCTCTCTCTTGTGCGTCTTGCTCCTCCCCAGCTCTGCCCCCAGTCTGTCCCCCATCCTTCATCCGAGGCTCTGTCTCCCCCATCAGACTGGTCCCCCCATCCGAGCAGCCGTTGAAGGTGGACGCAGCTCCTCCCCGGCCAAGGCCTGTGTCACTGCCCCCGCACTGCTCTCGGCATGAAATAAACGCTCCGTGCTGGGATCCAGCCGTGCGACCCACTGTGACCTCGGGTGGGTAGGGGGAGCCCGAAGTAGGGGCCTCTGAGCACACTCACCCACCCCAGCCCGCCAGGCCTGTCCTTGCCCTCCAGGCTTCCCGGGGTGTGCGTGTGTGCGCGCGCGCGCACGTGTGGCTTTGCAGGCCCTCGTGGATTGCACGAGTTGGTCCCGGGACAAGGCCCCTCCGTCCTCCCCACACAGACCCCCATCTCCACCCCCACACCCCCTCCGAGCCCCGGAGCTGCCATGAGGGGTGCAGCTGGGGCCCCAGAACACGAGCAGGCCTCGCATCCTCGTACCTCGATACAGAGGCCCCGGGCCTTGGGGGCGGGGGGCGCAGACGGGATTGGCTTCCTGCCGGTGGGCACGCGGGGACGACTTCCCTAGGCCTGACCTCCACTGGGTGTACGGACCCTTCGGGTACGGAGAGCCACAGCCCGGGACTCCGGCACGCTTGTGCACACTCGAGGGCAGCTCACAGCTGCCCGACCCCAGACAGGACCAGCCCTCCCGAGTCTCCCCCCATCTTGGCCCCCACGGCGCTGCGAGCAGGGGGGCAGCGGGCCAAGCCCAGGGCCCAAAGTGGAGCTGGCCCCACCACAGGTGAAACAACATCTAGAGAGGTCTCTCGCTCTGTGTCAGCTCGAGTTTCTTTGGCCCGAGTGGATGCCCCCAATCCAGGGTCAGCAGAAGGAAATAAACGCAGGTGGACCGTGCATGGCCCTGGGCCAGCCTTCGTGCCTTGGCCCTGCAGCATTGTTGGGACGGGGACGTTGCTTCCTCCTGGCCTTGCCCGCCGAGGTCCCACAAAGCCCTGCAGCGGTTACAATGATATCGATGGGCCGCCTGGGGCTTCCCCCGGTCCTGCCAACGTGAGGCTGGGTCTCGGGTGAGCCTTCCAGGCCACAAATGGTGGCGAGCTGTCGTGCACGAACCCAGGGCAGAGGCCAAGGTAGCCGCACACGTGAGAGCCAGGGAGGTCCCCCAGGGATCTGGGGTCTGGCCCCTGGTTGAGAGGCCCCGAGGCCCTTCTCCAGCCACACCCCTCCCAGCGGTGTCCCTCCTCCCAGGCAGGCGCCCCGCCCACCCTCACCCATTGGCAGGAGCCCAGGCTGGGTGGGCAGGCTGGGCAGACCAGGCCTGGAGAGGGGGGAGAGGGAGGAGAGGAAGAAGTGGGGCGCAGCCAGGGACGGAGACCCCTGCACGTGACCCTAGTCTCCACCTCCAGGAAAGGACGGATGTGCCTTGTTTCCTAGTCTGAAGTGCAGTTTACGACTTTGAGCTACACAGGACCCCTGTGCACGACTTCCCTGGGTCTTCTGACGTGGTGTCCCTATCAAGGGCCGAGGGAGGAGGGTCCCCATTCCTCAGTGCCAGGCAGGACTCACTCAGAGCCCTGGAGGATGTCCCCGACTCCCCCCGGCCCTCCTCCCAGCCCTGTCATCTGAGGACAGGGGTCCCTGCCGCTTCTAGTGAGGGGTGCGGTGTGGGTCCCAGCAGGCCCAGGTGGCTTGACGTAGCTCCTCAGAGTCAGTACCGCTGCCTGCCGGCCTGAGTGTTGTGACAGCTGTCCCCTGGCTGGCTGCCCAGGACGCCCCCCGCAGCTTCTCTCTGAGCCTGGCGAGAGCAGGTGCACTCTCTGGCGGGACGTCCCTCCCCATGTTCTGGAAGGCACAGCGCCCGGCCTGTCCCTGGGATCGCTCAGTGTTGCATGAACCTCTGACAAGCAGAAACCCTATAAAGTGAAGGGCTCAGACCCTGGGGCCAAGGACACAGGTGGGTCCCGCCGAGCCCTGAACACAGACTCCAGCTGCACCGGGTCCCCAGGCTCCTCGGACCCGTGGGGCAGGTGCTACACGTTGTTGTCGCTGGCACCTGAGACTTTTGAGGCCAGAAGGGGTTGGAAGGCCGCCTCCAAGACCCTGTCCCTGCTTGGGTCCCAACCCTCCGAAAGCCTCGGTCGGCCATTTCTCTCCACCAAGCCCCCTCCTGCAGGTCAGGAGTCTAGCGGCCGTGTGACAGGCAGGGCAGATATGGGCGAGGGCCATGCATTGTGTTCCCCCGCTCAAGGTGGGCGTCTGGGCTGGGGTGGACACCCTTGAGCCCAGCCTGAGCTATGGCTGTGGTGTTTGAGGGGACACTGTGTCCAGGAACTGATGGGCCAGCATCGCTCTGTTTGCGTCCCAGCGGCCGGGGTCTCTGAGGGCAGTAAGATGGACGGGAGGACAGGACTGTTGTCTGGGTGGCCAGAGAAACTGGCCTGTTGCAGGGGAGCCCTCCCCGGCTCTGGGGGGCCCATTCCAGGGACAGCAGCTCCCCGGGAGGGATGGCCAGCAAAGCCAAGGGACCCTTTGGGGCCCCGGTTCCACATCTGAGCCTGCTGGGGGCTTCAGCACGCGTGGTGGGGACGAGCCAGGGCAGCAGGGGCAGGACGGATGGGCGCAGAGCTCTGGGAGGGAGCGGACGTGGCTCAGGTCCCCCGTGGGACCGGCCCGGGGGTGGGAGCGGCCAGGGCACCTGCAGGACCACAGGAGTGTGTGCTGGGCCCCCTCATCTGAGGTCAGGCGCTCTTGCTCCCACCTGTTGGACTAAATAATTTCTTTATTACATCATCTTCTCTCTTTATTAGCTTGTAATATTACTTTGTCGTGGTTGTTTTTTTCATGTTTTATTTTTTTTTCTTTTGAGACAGAGACCGAGTGGAGGAGGGGCAGAGAGAGGGGGAGACACAGAATCGGAAGTGGGCTCCAGGCTCCGAGCCGTCAGCACAGAGCCCGACGCGGGTCTCGAACCCACGAACCGTGAGATCGTGACCCGAGCCGAAGTCGGACGCTCGACCGACCGAGCCCCCCAGGCGCCCTTTTGTTGTTGAAACCCTCGTTAAGTACTCACTCCTGGGGCATCAGGCACATTCACACGGTTGTACGGCCTTCACCACCCGTGTCCAGGACTATTTTCCCGGACTGGACTCTGTCCCGTTACACGTGGACCCTCCCCTCCCCCAGCCCCACCCTCCCGCTCTCCGTGTCCGTGGCTCCGACTCCTCCAGGGCCTCTGGTGAGCGTCCACTCCTACAGGACGTGTCCCCCTGTGACGGGCTGACGTCACTCAGCACGGTGCCCTCCAGGTTCGCCCAGTTGTAGCAGGTGTTGGGATTTGGCTCCTTTTTAAGGCTAATATTCCGTGGTCGGCTGGACCCTGTTTTGTTTATCCTTTCACCTGTCAGCGGATCCGTGGCTGCTTCCGCGCGTGGCTGTTGTGGACGACACTGCCAGGATCATGAGCGCTCAGATCTCTCTTGGAGACCCTGCTTTCTCAAACTTTTGACTCTTCTTTTTGAGATAGCCGGGGGGTTATGAGCTCATCCTTGAGTTGCCCATGTTGAATATAAATTAACACGTTCACCATCTTCTGGGCAGTGGAATTATTTACAACACTTTAGTTCCACTCATACCCTCTGAGATTTTGTTCTATTTTTGCCATGTGTTTTAATTCTAAACATATTTCATTCCCCACAAGACGTATTGAGGGTGACCAAGATGGCGGTCCACAGGGCTGCCCACGCCCAGCCTTTTCTCTGCTTCGGCTAAAGGGCACCCCTTAGAATTTCTTCATTGCAGATCTGTTAGTGATGAATTCCCCGGGGTCCCATTTGTCTGAAAAAGTCCTGACTTAGTCTTCATTTCTAAAATATGAACTTCTATTTGACATACACTAAAATAGACGTGACTCCATTGTACGCTTTGATGCCCTGTGTCAACACAACCCAAATCAAGATGCGGAACATTCCATCATCCCGGGAAGCTCCCTGGTGCCCATTTGCGACTGGTCCTCGGCAACCTCAGCCCCGGCAACCGCAGATCTAGTCCCGCCTCTGTGGAGGAGGCCGGATTGATTTGGAATCGCTCAGTGTGTCGCCTCTTGTGTCTCTGCAGGCCGAGGGCCGCCCCGCCCCAAGTCGCTGTGAGGTCAAGGGACAGCTGTGTTTACTTCTTGACCCCCACTGTCCCACTGCCGGTAAGGCCTCCAGCCTGGAATTGCTCTGATGGGACAGAGAGTATGTCGCCAAAAGGTGCTTCATGGAGAAAACCCTGAAGGAAGTGATTCAGGGAGAAAAAAGTGACCCCAGACACGAGGCCTGAGCTCCAGTGGGAACAAAGAACAGAGAAAGCAGTAAGCAGGTGGAGAATTCGAAAATCAATCTTGGCCACGTAAAACAACAGCAATAATGTTTTGGAGATTAAATGTATGAATTCCAAAACATGACAAAAATGGCATTGTTTGGAAGGAGGAAGAGGTGACTTTGTCAAGGTAAAGCTGGACGCTATAATGTTGGCCATAACCACGAAGAAAATATACATGTGCTTACACACACACACACACACACACACACACACACTACCCTACATTGATAGAAAGGAAATGATGAATGGATGAAAAATAATCCACAGTGTCAAGGAGGCAAGAGCAGGTGGGAAAAATAAAAAGCACAAAATAAGATGGTGCATTGAAACCCCAATATATTGTTACATTAAGTAAAGTTAACTGAATACGCTTCTTAAAAGAAAGGGCTGATCGGAGGATTTTGAAAAGCATCTATCATATGTTGTTTTAGAAGAGAAACATTTAAGACATGAGGGTACAGAAATGCTAGGTCATTTCATAACGATGGTAGAATCAATCCATGAAGAACCGTTAAGAAGTTTAAATTTGTATGCGACTAATAATATGGCCTCAGAATAGCTAAAGCAAAAAACGGGACCGCAAGGAGAGAGACAAATCTGCCGTTGCTGAGGGAGACCTTCATATGCCTCCCTCAGGAAACAACTTTACACGCTGGGGACGTGGGAGTGGAGGGGGGCCGGGAGCAGAGACCCAGCTGCAGGGCAAGGGTGGAGGGGCATCACTGAGGAGAGGACCTGGGAGCCGGGTAACAGGGACAGGACATCTTCAGATGCTTCAGGGATGGGGGCCGCGTGGAGG